CGTAAATTACACACAAACAACATTAAGCTACTCACGCAGAGAAGAACGCCTGCTGCTGCCATCATCATCATCATTCATCACCGTCATCATTTCTGCTACACTGGCAGGGCTAGGGGCCAGGACTCTCCTCTTTGGGTTTTTGGGGGATGTTGCTAACTCCGGTTTGGATAACAGGCAACCCACCCGCAGTAGATGCGCACGGTGTGTGGTCTCGCAGCAAGCTATCAAATACGGCGCATTTCTCTGCTTTTAACAAAATGCTATACGCAGGTGTTTCATCAAATTCGAGGAGTTACCTCCTTTGCACAGTATCAGCTTAAAGCACTTGTTGCAGGCTGCTGAGTTTGCATATTTTGCTGTGAAGTACAGCCAGACTTTGACCGCTTCGCTTTGGGCATTTTTAATCTGTAGCTCTGCTCTAAAAGAACGTATGTACCTGGGCCCGCCTACTACGCTCGCAAAGGTAAAATGATTGGCTGGAATCCAAAGAGTATGACATCTCAGGGAAAAAAAGCACCAAAATAAAGCACCGAAATGTGCGCTGCTTTTCGGTCTGGTTACTACCGTTTATGCTGCTGCCATAATGGCACCGGATACCGGTACCCATCCCTACTCCTGGAGCATCCCCCACACAATACCCTGACAATTGTAGAAGAAGGTTGAAGTGCACAAAACACGTGTCAACCGACTGATCAATTCCTCTTCAATCTGATATGATTAATGGTCAGATTCTCATCTCCAGCACCCTGACATAAACCTTTCCAGGGAGAGGTTAAGAAGCACGATGCTCATGGAGTTGGAAGTCAGCACTGAGCAGCTTCCCCTACCTGAATCTTTGCTTCAGCACCACCCTTAAGTCTGGTTCCATAGCCAAACTCGACTCCTACCAGGAGGCTGTCTGTTACCCACCTCCAGAGTTTTATGGGCCAGAAAAGCTGGATAGGACTCCTTCTTTAGCTTGACAGAACTCTTTACTTGTCATTTGGGGGTTTCTGCCATGGTAGACACCGACCACTGCATGAACCATTCTGACTCAGTGTCCCCAGCTTCTTATTTACTCTATAAGAAAAGGCAAATTTATACTACTTACAGTACTTATTGATCACGCTAAATAGCTTAAGCAGCAGATCCACTGTAACTATTTATGAATTTATAGACATGAATTCCATGTGCAAAACAAAAATGTACAAACATTCATCTTGATGCTAAAAAATGATACATCTGCCTTTTACAACATTGTACTTTTATGTGATGAATCTATTTATTACATCACTAGTAAATGAAGTGAAATGTACAATAGTTTGCACTGAAATCTAAATGAACATACTTGTGAAAAATATCCTCTTTTACAGCATAACACTGATTACCATCGAAGTACAGCAAGGATTTCCTTAGTGAAGTGAACCATTCACCACAATCACAGGTTTCTGTCTTTAACAGTCTCAGAGTTTTTTCTTTCCTTGTCTGTACACATGGATTTCTCCAAAACATGTGTCAGTCTTAATTACTGATAGGTTGCTTTACTGTAATAAGGAGCCTTATTTACAGTTGTGCAGCACTGGTTTGTCTTGTTGTTTCACAGAATTATGTTACCAAGATGTGATGGTAGCAAAAGTGTCCATTAGGGGTCACTGTGGAGTTGGCTGTAGGACTGTTGGGAAATTTGTGCAGCTGCTTCAAACCTTCAGAAGACCCTTATGAAGAGAACATCGAGGGAACAGTTTACCCTGCCCGGGATAGGGTTACCGGGGCCCCGCCCTGGAGCCAGGCCCGGGGAGGGTGCCCG